TGTGTGTGTGTGTGTGTGTGTGTGTGTGTGTGTGTGTGTGTGTTTGCAGCCTTGTGGGGACCCCCAGTGCTCCTCATGGGGATCAAAGCCTGGTCCCCACAGGTGATGCTGATTTTGTGTGTGTGTGTGGAAATGAATGGAAGTCAATGGAAGGTCCCCACAGGGRTACAAACCAACTTGTGTGTGACTGAGGGTATCTTGACTTTGGTTTGGGTCAGACTGTTGTTTCAGTGAAACACTCCATTTCCCAGGATTCCTTGCTGTGCAGTGAAGAAGTCAGAGCAGGTGGACTGGTGGTGGTCAGGAGGACAGACTGTGGTCCTGTAGGTTCTGCCTCAGGGAGGACAGAGATCCTGCTGGGACAGCTGGTCCTGGTTGTTCTCCACAGGAAGTGCTGTTTGACCAGTTGTCCAGCAGGTGTCAGGGTGACCCCACAGTGACTTCCTGTCCTGCCCTGCCTCAGACACATAGCTCCCACTGGTGCCTCTGGAGAAGGCTGTGAGGGTTGATGACTTTAGGTGTGCTCTCTTGAGCCTGCACAGGAAGTGAAGTCACTTCCTGTGCCTTTTTCATGATTTTCTTGGTGTTTCTCCACGTTTAGATGCAGGTTGTTGTTGTTGTTGTTGTTGTTGTTGTTGTTGTTGTTGTTGTTGTTGCCACGCCTTTGTACAAAGAGGTCCACCTCCTCTGTGTTTGTCCTCCCCGTCCTGATGAGACCCACCACTGGTCATCCACGTACTTAAAGGGACCATTAGTTCTAACATTAGACTTTATTTAATAAACATTTATTTTAACTGTAGAAATACTGTAGGATGTTCAGTTTTTATCATTTTTAAACTAAAAGTTTAATTTACCCAGAATGCTTTGTGTGCAAATAAAATGGCTCCATCCATGTTAAAATATATTTTTAAAATTTTAGTAAAAAAATGATAAAAACTGAACATCCTACAGTATTTTTACAGTTTTTATTTTACAGTTAAAATAAATGTTTATTAAATAAAGTCTAATGTTAGAACTTATTGTGGATCAGTTTAATGATGTAGTTCATCTTGTATTCTGCACAGCAGTCGTAGGTCATCAGGGTGTACAGCATGGGACTGAGAACACAGCCCTGGGGGACTCCTCAGCATAATGGTGTCTGACCTGTTGTTTCCTCCTGGTACAAACTGTGGTCTGGCTGTTAAAAAGTCCAGTTTGTCAGAGTTCAGAGGACTTCAGCTGAGCTGAGACACAGAACCTGTTCCTCCTCGTGTCCAGTTGGTTCAGGAAGTCCCTGTTTCCATCGCAGGAATGTGGTTCTGATAGTGGCTGGGTTCTGGTTCCTGCGGAGGTCTGATGGTTCTGATGGATCAGATCAGAGGATTTCAGTTTGTATTGTGTTCATTGGTTCTGGTTCTGGTCCACGAGGTGACAATAAGACACACTTCCTTCCTGGACCAGAACCAGCAGGAAGTTCCAGGAACTGGTTCTGAGGACCGGATCAGTGGAGCCTCTGAAAGCTCAAGCATCAAAGTCAGAGTTCAGCTGTCTGATCAAGTGGTTCTGGTTCTGGAGGCCAGGCGGTCCTTATTCCTAACAGAGAACAGAACCAGAACCAGAACCAGGTGAGTTGGATCCAGGAACCTGTAAAACCTGATCCTGACTTCAGGTCCAGGTTTCAGTCTGAGGTTTTCTCTAAACTCAAACAGAAAAAGATATTTTTATAACAAACATTTGTTTTAATTCATTTTATTTATTGTTTTATTTATTTGAAACATTTTTGAACATTTAATTCAAATATGACATTTAACTTTATGAATTCAGTTAAATATGTTTTTAAATTTAGGCTTTACTTTTTAAACTGCGTTTATAAAACTGAACCGTGTTCAGAGTGAAGCTGGTTCACTTCTCTTCCTGTTTGGGGCTTTTATTTTGACAGAGCSGAGCGGAAGTCGAGCTGTAGCGCTCTGCAGGAACTGGACTCTGAGGTTTTGGGCTCAGATTTCAGAGCAGAGACGAAGCGCAACAAGGAGCAGCTTTAACCCGGTTCTGGTCCAGACCCACCTGGGTTTATGTTCCTGTCATTCGGTTCGGATTCGGTTCGGATTTGGACCGGATGTCAGCGAGCAGAGAACAGCTGATGCCGGGAAACACGCAGGTATTTTTCTGTCAGGCTGCAGCAGCTGGAAGCTTTGTGTTTGTTTGTTTGTTTGTGTGTTTGTTTGTTTGTGTGTTTGTGTGTTTGTTTGTTTGTGTGTTTGTTTGTTTGTTTGTTTGTGTGTTTGTTTGTGTGTTTGTGTGTTTGTGTGTTTGTTTGTTTGTGTGTTTGTGTGTTTGTTTGTTTGTGTGTGTGTTTGTTTGTTTGAGTGTTTGTTTGTTTGTGTGTTTGTTTGTTTGTGTGTTTGTTTGTGTGTTTGTTTGTGTGTTTGTCTGTGTGTTTGTTTGT